TTCGAATTAGATTTTATATTTTATCTAATGTATAATATGTATAAATTCTGCAGGGATTCTTGTTTTACTGTTATGCTGCAATTTTTTACATTTGTGTCTCTATTAAAACAAATTTTAACTCAATATTGGCAATAATTAACTGATAAAATGATCCAGTCACACTTGCTTTTTGATACTCATCATGAGTAAACACTAAACAGGCGATAATTGAGTAAACACAACTTATGATTTTTTGCAAAAAATATGAGTTAGATGTTGTTTTGTAACGTGAACAACAACTTCCATTTGAAGAGAAGAATTTCACCAAATACCAGAATTGAACAGTTGGATCATCAGTTTTATTCCGAATGAGTGACTGCAATAAAAAATGTAATCTCAGCGTACTTTATCTGTCATCTGAAGTTCAATCTGAAGTACTATTTTTTAATACATTGTACCTGTAATCGGTACTTATGTAATAATAATTACACTAAGTAAACAAACCAAATTAATCACTTATCTCAAACCTTTTAGTGTTAAGAAGAAATTTTGTACTGCAAAACAAAAATTTCGTATTATGCCAAAATAATAAAATTCGCTTGGAAATTCTAATTTCAAAATTAGGAGAATTAGTTTTTGTAATAATCTAATCAAAAAGTTTTTTTTTTGTAATAGTTGTTTAAGGATGAAGTTCCGATTTTTGAGCTGCACCTGTTGTAAATATCAATACAAACAAAATTTTAATGAAGATATTTGCCTTATCCATTATTATATGTGTGTAAATTAATGCAATTGCTTATTGCATAATTTTGAATTTATTATATTTGCATTATGTTTTATATATGTATATGTTATATTGTTGTAAACGTCACAATGGGGTTACTTCATTAAATTTAATAATATCCTTTTTAGCAATAAAACATAAAAATTGAACAGAACATCGTTGTCGTTTACAAACATTTTTTTTGCCTTAATAATGTTCTAGTTGTAAATTAAAAAGTCATTAAGGGGCTTCTGCGTTAAATTAACACTATTATCTCTGGTGATCATTTCCGTGTGGAGTCGGGTGACATATGAAAATAAAAGCAGATGGTGCATATTGATATTTTGGCGTTAAGTCAGATCAGTTACATTAAACTGTCATGAGTAACAAGGATATTCGACAGTATGATTTTTGTACGGAATTAAAAAATTCAATTGTCTTGCGTTTTTAATTTTTTTTTTAACATCTGGAGAAGCAAATGGTAGGAAGATGATGATTTTCTAATAGTCTCATAGTCCATGTAAAATATGTCATATAACCTTATACTAATAATAATAAATAATCTCAATTTGCAAAAATATGAATCAATTAACATAACATATTTGTGCGGTGTTAAAATCAAGTATTTTGGTGAGTCTTCTCCGATTGGACTTCTGTTGCTACTCATTTTTATAGTATCAGTTTGTTTGATGCAGAATTATTGACTGTTATTTATATTACTGATAAGATTTATTCACAGTTATGAGGTGCGTGATTGGTACTTTTTGACCGTGTTCACTTAGCTTAACTAAAGTAACGGAAAATTCGATTCATTTCGTCGAAGACGACGTTATAGTTCTTATTCGAACAACCGTCTACTTTCCTTAATTTGACAGCTCCTATAAATACCATCTCTAGTCATCATTTCAAAAAAGTGTTTCTTTCACATTCTACTAAGAGCCTATGTAGTACTGAACAATATCCTCTAGTTATGACCATGCTGCAGAATTTATGGAGGAAGCCGCTGAAGAGAAAGATAATCTTTCTCTAATTTTCAGGTTCAGTGATGAAGTTGACAATGTGTATAACTTACTGTATGACTTGTATTCTCCTATGGCACGTATAAGTACCGAAATAGTAAAAAAAAAACCCGACAACTTTTATAGCGTAAAAAAATTGCAGATATGAATATTTCTGGAGTATCTAGAATATCTACCGATCGTTCCTATAGCGTTATTTAACTTTTTCTAATAACTCTTTTTTATCTGCTTCGCTGATAGCAGAACTTGTTTACAGGAACCTGGTTAAATTCTGCAATACATACAAGACACTATGATTTTATTGGATGGTTACAAAATTCTAGGACTTGATCGCTTTGGAAAAATAAGTGGGAGTGTTTTTATACAGGGTGATTCAGTCTAAATGACGAATGTAATTTGTGGTTATCGGCAACCCGAAATACATTATTCATTTATTCCTCGAGTCACACAGGAATTTCAAAAATATCATAAATCTACGAGGTATGTGGGTTTAAAAACTTTGCAATAAAGTGTCACTGTCACGCATTACATTTAAAATAAAACTTGATGGAAATAATCCTTTGAAAAGGAATTTCACGAATCCATCACGTATTTTCTTGTAAAGTGGGCCAAGAGCTATAAGGTTATATGACCATCATAAAAGTAGTTGTCCGCAAATAAAAACCCCTTTGTGTAGTTCGCACTAAGCAATAAATCGTCTTCTAAACATTTCTTCCTTTGATTTAGATATTTAGTGAAACACGCCGCTGAACGAAACGACAACAATCGATCGACCTACAGTGGACACGTTATTTACGACCCTAAAACCTTTTCTATTCTAAACATCTTAACTTCGACACAATGGGATAATTTTATGATGGCCATATAACCTTATAGCTCTTGGACTACTATACATGTAAGGTGCGTTTATTTACATTGCCATTGTTCGAAAATTTGGCCTCATCACTAAATAAATTGTTTCTGATAAAATTGAGATCATTTAGCAGCTGTTCCCGAACAAAATTACAAAATCCTAATCTTCGGGGAAGTCATTCCCCGTAATTCATGAACTAGCTGCATATGATACTGGTGGAAATTGTTAACCTTTAACATTTGACAAACAAAAGATTGACTTATGCCAATTTCTCTCGTAACTGCGCATTGCCCAATATGAGAATTTTCTAAAACAGTCTCCAAAACAAGGATCTCGTTGGCCAAAAATGTGTAGAAAAATATTGGACAGAAAATGTTAACATTGTTTTTATTTTAAATGCAGGTCCAGATTCATAGTTGCATGTTAATAATTCCATACTCTATGAAGGATGAACCAATATATTGATATAGGCTCCTTTCGCTTCCTTATTATTTCGCTTTGAAATTAATGGTCTTCGTTCTCAGAGTTGACTAATTATTCATCATTCGTTGCGAATTGGCAAAAGCTTTGATATTTAACCCTCCAGGAATATTTATATTTCTCTCTGTCTGCAGAGGGATATATACATTCGGTAATTGTAATAATGGTCTGAAACACCTCTCAGTCCTCATTTTTGTTAATTCATCCTGCATAGTTATTTTCATTGGTTGCGGTGCAACTAAAAAAATTACGGGTTTTAATTATTTTGGTCTCTATAGTTGACAAATATTTATCTTGCTTGCATTTCTCTGGCTTAATTTCTGCCATAATAAAGGACATGGAACTGGGAGTAATTGAGTAATTCAATAAAAAAAAGAACATATTTTGCATACTGTTACTGGGGCGTTAGGTCATATTAAGTTACTTTGAACGGCAAAACAAAACCTTGAATAATAACTAACAATGCTTTTTGCGCAGAACTGAAAAATTTAGTTTCGTTACTTTTGCGAATAGGACAATGAAGGTTTCCACATTCCATCTGTCGGTCTAAAATTTTTGAAGCGGTAATCTTCAAACTACATATTTATTGGTTATTGAGAAGTTTTAAGTCTGCCTTGTCTTTTATTGGGGGATATTGACTTCAAACTTAAAAACGAAAAAAGTTAGGTGTTAATGGCTTTAATGTTTAATGAGTAATGACTGTCTAAAACGTAAGACAAGAATTAATCTTTAAAACAAGCCATACTTTGTTCAAGATAATAGTATACTTTTTGTTATTATTTATTGTTTTATGCGTTTTATAGAAGTTTCTATTTTATTGTAGCATTATAAAAAGCTTTATTGTGTACAGTAATTATTGCAACTAGGTATTATTACAGGAAATAATATTTATGACCTGTTCGTTCGATAATGATATTATTGTTTTTAACCACATTTGTGAAAACTATTTAGCTGAACTTTGTAGCTTAAAAATGTTTAATAACTGAATAGTTGTAACTCTAAGTTATCACTCGAACTTCTTTCAAAGACACCTAACATAAGAAATAAAATATGATTGCTATGAGAATGAATGCAGTCCGGTAGAATTCATTTATACTGAAATTATGACGTCTGTAGTGTAATTACGAACATGTTCGTGTTTGTATAGTTTGTCTAGTTTTAATTCGGTTTTATGATAGTATACTCCATTGTGTAAAAGTTTACTTCCTTAATAATAGATTCCCATCACTGGCAGTAGTAATCTATTGTTAAGGAAATTTTTACACACCATAATACCGAATTAGAACTAGGGAAACTATACACACTGTTCTACTCCTACTGCAAAGTGCAATCTTTTTTTAATTAACAAAGGTAAAACATAGATGCGATTTCCTTTTCTCATTGTTATTCCTTTATAATTGGTTATTAAAAAAGTATAATATTGTGAGTATGTTACCATTTAGCTCTGTTTGCAAATGCCTGCAGTATTTTTCATGTTGAAATGAACTCCTATTAAAAGAGTCATTCTGTGAAAGAAATACTGCTTTGACTCACTTGACTGTACATTAAAATTAAAATAATCCAAGTTTAAATAATTATATCGAGAGAACAATAAAATCAAAGCAGTCATGGATTTTTCAAGATCTGCAAGTTTGAGTTGAAAATGCAACGATCAAAGACAAACTTTCAAAAATCCGTAGCTATCTTTAATAGTATTTTTTTGTTCTGTCGGTATTAAATGATCATAAAATATGGGTTAGAACACCATGGTAACAGCTACGATTTTTTATTACGAATGGATAACAATGTCACGTAAACTGTAAAAATCTATGGTGAAGGAATGACTTATAGTAACTAAAACCAATTCCTGCCACATTTAACATTATTAATTTTTAAATGTGTTTAAAAATGAAAAATTTATTTCTAGGAAACACTCCCCAGCCCTACTTTACTATGTTTGTGGCAGAAGTTATTGGCACTGGATTGCTAATGTTTCTAGGATGTATGGGATGCATCAATACGTATGATGAAGCTGCAATAAGTCATCACTTTGGAGGAATAACTTTTGGTCTTACCGTTATGTTGATCATACAGGTATAGTTAATATTACGTTTGCAGCAATCAACGATGAATTGTTACTTAATGTTACAATTACTATGATACAGTTTGTGCGTTTTATTGTTTACATGTCTTTCTATTTCATTCAATTTCTGTATTATTAATTCTTTCTTATCTATAATTATTGAATTAAGGTGCAACTAATGTTTTAATGATATTGCTTATTGTTATCATTAATGTTATTTTATTCAATTTTTCAGACATTTGGACACATATCTGGTGCTCACTTAAATCCAGCAGTTACAATAGCAACAGTATTATGTGGAATTCTTAAACCATTAATGGCTGTGATATACGTGTTAGGTCAATTTGCTGGAGCAACCTTAGGCTACGGTTTACTTAAAATTTTGGTACCAGAAAAGTACGCTCCGGATGGTTTTTGTATTACTTCTTTAAATGAAAACGTAACTGTGATACAGGTAAAACTTGTTTAAAATTATAAAATATCTTTTCTAATAGTTTGTGCAACACAGGGTTTGGCTATTGAAGTTGTGATAACTACTGTCCTCGTGCTGATATGTTGTGCTGTTTGGGATAAACGCAACGAAGCAAAGGCTGATTCTGTGCCTTTAAGGTTTGGTTTTGCAATTGCTGCAATTTCTATGTCTGCTGTAAGTATAAAAAATGGCAATCTATTTTTAATGATCAAATTAGATTTACGTATTTAATTACTCTTGTGATTTATCTAATTTAAGGCCTGATAGGGATACAGTTTATCTGGGGTTAACTGTTTTTACGTAGTTGTTATTATTTATGTAAAACATCGACGAAATATTTACAGTTATCAGCTGCGCGATAACAGGCTCATTTATTAGAGATGTTAATACAGTAGGCAAATAATGTAAAAATTTGCTAATTAATAGCTATTATTTGCTCTTTGGTTTGAAAATTGATAATTATGCTCATGCATAATTTATAATGTTTCTGTTAAGTCATGTCTTACCAGCAATAATGATTATATTTTCTTATACATGATATATTTTTTAAATTTTTAATGATGGTCCAGATGCTAAATTTATATGACACATGTTTATGTTTTGGTTCAGATTATTTTCAACAAGCTACTGATATCTCGATATAAACTGAGATTAAAGTATTAGCAAACGATAATACCCACGTGCTGTCACTTTTGTAACTTTTCTCTTCAAGTGTAAAATATTTTATAAAACCTCCCAACTTATGTGGACTTAGCTCTAGAAGTTTGATTTCATAATCACTTGAGAGGCAATGCTGACTAAAAAATATGAAATAAACTGTGGCTACTGCCGTCTTAAAATAAAAAAAAAAAATCGAAGTGATTAAAACTGCTTATTCAGATCTATTTTTTATATACTGAGCTTCGCTAGTTCGTTTTTTTTTTAAGTTCATTAATTCGGTCAAAAAAATTGGGTCTTTTAGCACGGATGTTTGGAGGAGCACTGGTTCTTGCACCTCGCTGAAAAGTGTTTTGATATTAATTTGAAAATATCGTATATATATTTTTTGGAATGAAATTTTATGATTTTGGCTCAAAAGTTTTCAAATACTTTGTATTTTATTTAAAATGTTTAAATCAAAGAATTTTGTCTTAGTTATAGTTTCTATCGTTAATTTAATTGTGAAAATATTATTGTGTTTTGACCGAATAGTAAAAGTAAAACAAAATGGTTGTGACTTTCATTTGCGTCAGTTATGTCAAGGAAACTCCTATCAGTGTGTAATTTTAAAAGTATGTGCCATTTTTATAAATAAATTTGCATAAATATATAGAGATAATCACTTTGTGCAAATTTTAACGTAACAAAACAATTTAATCATGTGGCATACATTTTGCTGAATTTTTGTACTCTTTAGTATTAAATATTTTTTTCTTTTTACTTGTTTTTCTTCTTCTTCTTTATCAAACTTATATCTAAAAGAGTAGCTGAAATATTCTGAAAAAGCTACAACGATCTAAATATGTATATTACACGCTTTGATGGCATGCGTCACTAAAAACTGTAACGGACAAGATTTAAGACATCCCATTGAACGATTTAGGAAAATCTTTTCTATCCACTACCAATTAGTATTTTGTATCTTAAGTCCGGAGGTTTTCTCTTGCTCCGTATTTGAATTATTTTGATGATCAGTTGTTTATGAAACTTAAAAAAACGTAATTTTTAGGGACCACTAACAGGTGCTAGTATGAACACCGCAAGGTCGTTCGCTCCTTTGGTTTTCGGTGGAAGTTGGCAGGATCATTGGGTAAAACATGTTTTCAATATTGAAGAAATATATTAATAACATTCTTTTACAGATATATTGGGTAGGCCCTAATTTGGCTGCTTTTGTTGGCTGTAGTATCTACAGATTCTTATTCAAAGATCCGAAAGAGAATGAATCTAAAAGGGAAAGTATCTATTTAAACGATGTAGCTCACTCCGCTGAGAAAGTTTGATTATAATGATATGATTTCCCGGATCCTCCCGTTTTTATACTTTACTCATGTTTGTAAATATAAAGAGATTATTTTTTTTATAATCTGGAAACTCATTAAGGTTAAGTACTTGCGTTATTTATACTCCTTGTTATTATATTTAAGCTTTATAAGTAGTCTAATTTGAAATATTACATCTTACAATTTATTTGTATGAAGTACACTTACATATATTTAAATTATTAATATATGTTTTTTAAGAATAAAGAATGAAGTAAGTTTATTGAGTAGTTGTATTTACGTATAGCTATAATGTGTTTTTCTGATAGGTATTGTATATCTGCGTACGAAAAATCATAGTGATTCAGTACATAAGTATATAAAGCAAATCTAAAAGTGTGTATTTTCTGATTTTCTTGTTCTAAGTTACTAAGATAATTGGTTTTCCAAGAATGATTACGGTACAGTTTACCTACGCGCTTTTATTGTTTTAGATATATCTTAGAGATAAACAATTATCACAAAAATCTACAAATTTTTATGTAGTGGCATTTAATAAAAGTTTCAAGTGATGATGATGGAAAATGTCAAAAGTCATATTTAATCAACTCGTTCTATTAAATCAGATTATTATAAGTGTTCGTGTCTAAAAAATGTTTCAACACAAATAAAAAAATGTAAAACTTTCTCATACACATACATTATAGTAATAATTTTTAACAGCTAAGGGATGCTCATCTAATGAATAATAATCTTTTAAAACCAGCACTTATTTTTACTTGGTCTGATGCAACAGATAGAGTATTATAAAGTACCGACTGACTATTAATGATTGTGATTTTTTTTGCAAGGTTGGTAACCTATTTAAAATTTTGTGGTCACACACCCAACTGTCAAAGTGACATTTGTGACAATTACCATTGTCTCAACCACTCAACAAGTTTGTTAGGGGTGCTCTTGTTCAAATTGACAACTGTGAGCTAACGAACTAGCAATAATAATTAAGAATTGCCAACACAAAAAATTAATTTAATTAATAATAGTCACCCTTCGTTTTCGTTACTCTGATTTTTTTGGACAAAATAATTTTTTTATCCAGTGATGCCACTCGTTACAATTTGAGTTGTAATGTGTTGTCGCCAGTTAATATAACTCAGACAAGTAAAACATACTATGCAACGTTCAACGTAGCATCAAGATATTTAGTGAAATAAACTGCTGTTTTCCATCATCCTTATATTTAAATCCTGCAATAACAAGAATAGCGCGTTCCTGTAATTTAAAAATTTTATGACGTGCATTGGAATGGCTCCAGACGAGATACTTATTATGTGATTATAAAAGTGAAAACTTTTAGTATTTTTTTAGCCACTTCATTATATAAGTTTTTTTAGTCAAAATGTGGAGTCAGTAGGAAATTCCAGGTTTGACAACCAACGTCCAGTATCTCATTTCTAAGTGTAAATACATATCATATCGGCCGCCGTATTAGGATTTTTTTTGCGTTATCTTATCATGTTTTAAATCTCTGTCCGTTGTCAGAATAGTTGTGGTATTTGCATTTACTGCTCAAGCGATTAAGAAAATCGTTATAGCAAGAAAAGCAGTGGACCGAGCACTGAGCCTGAGATGCACCGTAACTACAGTGATTTTTTTGAAACTGGACTTAAGAATTTCGCAACTTATGTATGTAATGATTATTACTTCAAAAAAATGATAATAGTCTACTTATATTAAAGCTGAAGACTTTGTTAACATCAAGAAAGGAAGTAATATCCATTTTTATTTTTCTTCCATGTGCAATGTACATCAATTAAATTTATCAAATGCGTTTGTTGTTGACATAAACCACATAGAGAAGATAAAAGGAATATATATATTTTCTGAATGAAGTTGACCCAATAATTTTCTAAAATTTTGAAGTATAACAGATTGATAGTAAGTAAGAGGATTTAAACAGATATGAATATACTTACTTTATTAATGGAAGTACTAGCATATTTTTATCTAATTTTATTAAGATTATATGACATTCTTGTACAGAATTTAAACGTAGTCAAAATTCAAATACTTACGGTGACAAGTTTCAAAATATCAAATCAGTCTATGGTTTATATAGTAGTAACTTTACATGTACGTAAGCTTAAATAATTTGAAGTCATAATACGACAGGATTCGTATTTTCGTAAGAAGTTTTTAATCCTGTACACATAAATCTCATAAAAAATGGTGGTCTTCAGTTACTGTAAATATATTGTTAATATCTCATTTAAATCTCACTTTTTTTTCTTTTATATTTATACTAAAAATAGAGTAAGAAGCAAGGAGTTGTCCACTGCCAGAATTTTGTACAATACAATTTCAGTTTTGTATATTTCACAAACAACGAAAGAATTAGTGATACCCTAACACGATTACTCCAATTTAAATTGAATTCTATAAAAACTTCAACTTCTAGGTTGTTATTTTATGACAAAGCAGAGAAATCATTAAATTTATTATGTGCGAAGTGGAACGCACATTTTTTCCTACTATTGAAAAAGATGTTGTATAATATACGACTTATGTAATAGATTTAAATAAACAGCTATGTTTTTTAAGTGTTAAAGCAAAACAGTTTCCAGTGTCCTAGACAAAACTCTACAGAACACGGATAGAGATATTGAAATTGTGTAAAATCCATTGTTTTCTGAAAAATAAAAAACAGAGTAACTTGTAAATAATAAAATACAGGGTGTTCTGTTCGAAAAAAACTGAAAATTGAAATTGAAAATACATGGCAACATCAACAACAAAGTTGTGTGTTATGTCTCAAAAACAGAACACGCTGAATAGTTGAAAATACTTTCAATGTATGATACTCAATAATAATTGAGACTTTGTGACTCATCCTGTATATGGCATTGGAGTTGCCTAGCAAACTTATAGTCTTTTAAACTACAATGTACCTATGTAGGTATTTGATAACTGATTTTGATAGATCATTATATTATACGATTACAATGATGTAAAACATCTAGCTGTTTATTTCATCCTGCGTTGTTTAAAAAAAAAACTGTATGAATATAAAAAATGGAAATGCTATCACTTTATTTTATAAACAATTAATAAGACATGTTGCAAAAACAGCCGGTTCAACATATCGGGTGTTCATTTAAAAAAGTTATGAAGTTGGCCTTGATATTTTGTGAACAATGCAAAGTTCGTTTACAACAAACCTAAAATTTAATCATTAACAACTGACAACGTGGAAATTATACACAACAGTGATTAATAAAGTATGCTAAGCTTTCTTCTATTAACAGAAGCAAATCCAATTTGATGAATTTTTCAATTGAACGCCCGTTGTGTTCGAACTGTTATCCTTCACACTTAATTCAAAACTTCTTATTAGTTCGCGATTTGGGGCGGTTAACACAAATATAATACAAACATTCTTAATTCATTTTTTTATTGTAATTTACAAAAAAAAAAATAGGTTTACACCACGAGCCCATACCACACGTAAGTCATATTTGTAATTCATTAAATTAAGCTTTCCTCTTTAAGCTAAAATTAACGGCATTACAGAATTTCTCTATTTCTATCCATTTTCAAGATGTACGGCCGCTGAGTTATATGCGGAGCACCTGTATAATAAAAATAATATTTGTAGAAGCTGATAATAGATCATTCTTATACAGAGTCATTAAAATTGATCCAGGGAGTTGGTACTCCGTGTTTTATTGTTTCAATTCACTGACGACAGGAAAACTACTCCAACAATTTAAAGTTATGAAAATCGAATGTGGAGAAATAAATAATCTAAAATTTGAAACTTCAAATTTGTCAACTAATATTTTTTACCAAACAAAAAATCGAAGAAAGACGCCACTTACTGTTATTCTAGTTTATGTTTACCAACTCTCTCAATCTATTTTGATGATCCTGTAGGTTTCATGTCATTCTGGTGAATTCCAAAAAACTGCCAGGCAAAAAAATTCAGATATGTAAAAAAAAAACATTTCGGTAGGTATGTAATTTTAGGTAATACATGTATTTATTAAATTTTAGAATTTTTATTATGTGGAAAAAAATCAGTCAATTGTGTCTGATTTTCCAAAAAAGTGTAAAAAAGGCAATGACGTAACGTAGTTGTTAAACACTCTTAAATGTCATCTGGTTATTAAAATGTGGGAAAATTTTGTTGTATCAAATTTTAATAATATAGCTTTTTGTTTCCTTACCTATGGAATGCATATGAATTAAAAAAAAAGCCAAAAACTTACGGCTTCACAAAATTATGACTTTTTAATTTAAATTCTAAAGCTACCTTATTTTCTCATTACACACGATAAAATTGCTATACTAAAATCTGAGCCTACCAAATTTTGTTTTACACGTCTTGAAAATGTTTTGAAAATGCTCGTAAATTACAAGTCTTGTTATTTTCGTCCTTTTTCCAAAACTTCATTGTCCAGACTAGTGAAATAAATAACTATTAAAAAGTGCTAGAGAAGTTCAAGTTTCAAGATTCACTTCTTTGAAGATCATTATTATAGGTTATTATTATTATTGTTATTAATATTATTAAGTCCTGGAAGTCATTTTGTAGTTTAATCTCTTCATTTTGGCGCACGTGTATCAATTACTGTATCATATCTTGATTTAAATATTAGCATTGACTTTGATACTACCTACAATATCTTTCGGTACCTAATGAGTTCCACTCATCAGAAACTCTATTGGTTATAAATAGACTTCCGATTTTTTAGGTCCCAAAATTGACGAATTAGGTTATAAAATCTTAGTTTAGGTTAAAAACCTGGAGGAAAAAATATTTGCTTAACGGAAAAGCATACATAAAAAAAATATATATTTAAAAAAAAACATTAAACAAAACATTATAGAAACAAATATTTTGTGTAACAAACAAAAAAATGATTAAATAAATAAACGATCTATAGTTAGGTCCACTAATTCTAAGTTATCGCGAGTTACAAAAGCAAACTATAAATTTCTCTAAATTTTCGATTGTAAATTTACACCTTTGATCGCTTAAAACACTTTTAAGTTTTGAAAACGTGCGTTGCACATCACAAGAAGTGATGGGTGCAAAATTAAATATTGAACAATCTACGTTTTCATTTATGTATGTAATGTTGGTAGCATTTCCATCACCGCAAATTACGTTATTTACTGAACATAAAAAATCGTATCATGAATTCTTTTTTAATAGAGAACATAATTTATGGAAC